TTATAAGCAATGAAATGCTCCCTTGTGAAGTTATATGAACTTTTGCTACTTGAGGCCCATCAACAATAAAACAAGTAAATCTCAGGAGCCGTGTCCTGCCGGTGGCGTGTTTCAAAGCGGCCGCCCATTCACTCTGCGGCTTGAGCGGGCACACGTATTGAAAAGGTTTTGTAGGCTTCCTCTAATGCATAAGGACAAGAACCACTTTCTGACTGAACTGTTGGGTTCCTCATAATGTAAAATAAGATAAAAATTCATTCACCGGTATTACAAAACGTGTGTGTTTTAATTGACTTATTTTTTATGAAACGACGGGATAAACATAATGACCACGTGGAAATTGCAGCTAAATGCTCTTCCTAGAGAGTTCCTCCGCTTGCATGTGATTCGGTGGTTCCCAGCTAGTGGTTCATGGACCGAAAGTGGACCACAAGTCCATTGTGAGTGGGTCACAAGTGTGTGGGTCAACTTTAATCCAACAAAGCTGCGAGATTTCTGCGTTATTGCCATCAGGCCGGTTTACTTTTTTTAGGCTGTAAAAAATTGGCCGTGCAGCCAATTGAGCAACATTTTAATAGTCTTGCTTTATTTTGAACCGTGTCAATGATTTGAGAGCCATTAAACTAATGTGAGATGAAAGCATCTTGCATCATCTCCGGGTCCTGGGGCTGGGAACCATTGTTCTGGCAGACAGCAAAGATAAATACATAAATAAAAGAATGAAAAAATAAATAAAACAAGGTATAATTTTGAATTCAGCAAATCATCACAGCTAATGTGCGCTATGACTCACCATGACTCTACGTCATACTGAAGGTTAATGTACTCTGGCGCTGAGTGGAAGGCATGTGACTCACCACGGAAATAGCATATTCAATTAAAATGAAGTTGTGAAAGACACAGAGGAGAGCGGCAGCTAATACTTCTTCCCAATGACACACCGTGATTGTTCCGCCTCGCCAGCTCTGCGGTCGGTGTTCATCCTCCCAGTTGGCCTGTGGGGCCTTGTGAATAAACACACGGAGGTTAATGTCTCGTGTTCTGCCCCGCTCTCTGCCGACAGCTCCGACAGGAGGAGAACGAGAAGAGCCTAAAAGGAAAGCTGTTTGGGTAATTCGCTAATCTGCCTCTCACATCTCATTCTTTTAGGCAGTGGAACGGGATATTTCCCTCACGCTCCCGTTGAGGGGTACATCTCGAGTATGCGATGGGTGAGCCGTTCGAGGGAGGACATTTTTCCCGTTCTCTTTTTCTTCTTCGGTTTGTTGCAAGAACACCCCTCAAACCCGGTGGGGTCTTCGGTGAACTCGCCATCACCCCACGCTTACTGACAGCGCCAAGAACGTACTTCCACAATCCCTCTCACGTCACCGAGGCGATAAACAGCCACGGGCTTCGCCACAGAGATAAGGCTTCCGAGCAGTCCATCAAACAAACAAAGAAAATAAGGACGAATCTGGAAAGATGTTAAGCAATGACGCTACATTGCCCTCGTATCTCTTCTGCCTGCCTATTTTTCCATCCACACTAACACACACATATACTTGTACACCCACTTCAGCCTGTCCTGGAAAAATCATTAGAGCCCCCACCACTCACGGCCTGCATGCAGATGGAGAAAAATAGGGCTGTCAGCCAAAGCGCCTGAGGGGCTTTTCATGACAATAACCTTCTGTAGTGCTGCTTGTATCCCTCCACCTAGATCAGGCAGAGGTGCTGGGGGATGGATGGGGGAAATAAGCGACATAACCATACAAAATATTAGGCGAGGAACATTCACACAAAGTACAGAGGAGGAAGACATCCGTGTCATTTTGCTCTCATGGCCTGGAGAGATGGCAGGCTAAATGCTCTTTTAAAACAGCTTGAACATTGAAATGATGATGGCTCCTTTTGCCTCGGCAAAGCACATTAATACGTAGCCGAATGCCATTTCCACTTTTGTTAAATGGCTCACCTATTGAGTATTCAATTACAAAGGCTGTCTCTCGCTTGGAAGACGGGGCTGGGACCCATAAAAATAATCTCCCTCTGAGTGCGGAGCTGCAGAACGCATTGGACAGCAACGCAAGGCGTGAAGAGCTCCTGTATGGGGGTGGTATATGTAACGGTAATGGCATGGGAATGAGGAGGTTGTTGGGTATTGGCTGTGGGGCAAAAAAACCAAGCTGCTCATCTGCGGTACCATTTTGTTAAGGGAGCACATTTTTAAACCATTTGCAGGGTTACAAAAAAAAAACCCTACTGAATCCCGGCTTTATAAAACATCAGTCAGGGTGATTGATTCAGTCTTGATTAATCGCTCCATTTGTCAATGATAGGCCTAAAATTCCACAATACAAACCCGCCAATAAAGCTCCCCCCCTCCTTCGCTCCATTCTGTGGTTCATCTCTTATGCTCAAATAGTAAAAGCAAATTGTGGCTAATTTCATCGACGAAACCACTGGCATGTGGTTTTTCCAGCGGTAATGATTCACTCATTCGAGCCTAATTAACTGCAGCCATTAAATGGAGGGAAATGTAATGCCCTGGGTTCCATGTCAGGTAGTCAGAGGAGGACAGCACAGAAGGACTCAATTAGGCCTGTGCTGTTCCCGGCTTATCACGCGACATGTTTGCCAATTAAACGGAGTAGCGTCTGATGTCTGTGCACCTCTGTCGGCACCATCTCAGGCCTGGCAAGCGCTGAAACAGCGTCGCGAACCTCTGCACGCACCACCCCCCCCCAGTGAAGGAACAGACACTACACCATGCCTCGAAAAGGCAGTAATTACAGGATGGATGGGAGACTGTTATATAAGTAAGGAGGCTGCCGATAGGCCAGGCAGGGCCTGCTGATGCCGAGTCTCAAACAAGTTCCAGCAGGATCGAGTTACCAAGGGTGTTCTCAGTCAGGAACAGAGAAACATTTCAACATCAGAGGCAGGCTAAAACAAGGGAAGAAACGAGGCCATTGACCTTTTTTTCGGAGTCTGCCGTGTGACTGTTTTAGAATTTCAAACGATCAAACGAGAATTGCGATCCGACTGAGATAAGAGCCCAGTCATGACAAACAACGCAGCGCTCGATTCTCAAAAAACTTCAATCCTCCCTAAAATTATTATTAGTCCCTCTCGAAACAGGCGTCCTTACAGCTGCTTTTAACATATTTCCCCAAGTGTGCTCCTCCCTGCATCGTGACTCAGTACGAGTGGGAGAGGAAGGCAGAGGCAGGCAGACACATTAGCCTTCCCTTATGGCACACGCTGCAAGGCAAAAGGAGTCAGTCAGCATGATCCTGACTGTCACTGACTTGTTGTGAAAGCATCGCGGGCTGAGGCTGATCCATTACTTTCGGGGGGGGTGGGGGAGTTGGGCTGAGAGGACGGCCAGCGGGGCTGGAAGGGGTGAGGGGGGAGGCGTGAGGCAGCCCTGTTGCCCGTCACTCACCATGCACCACTGCATGACCGCCAACCTTGTCTGGCTTGTGCACAATGGGAGGTCTCGGGCTCGACTGTGTGAGCAGTCGTTCCCGCTCCGTCCTCCCAGCGGCCGACACACAGAAAGGCCAAAAGGAGTCAAAACACTCTGGACAGACATTAGTCCTATATGCACCCTGGAAGACCTCACTGCTTGAAGCCTCTGAGCAGTGAATATCTGCTCTGTTTCCCCACTGAGTCTCGTATTTCTGGTGGTCTCAGACGGGTTCAATTCTCCTTCAACAAACATGCATTGCAATTATCCGGCAGTCATTAAACTGTAATGACTGGAGGTGTGGGCAAACTTCTTAAGCAAACAGTTACAGTACCAACCACCCAAAAAATACATAACGCTTGCAAAATGCACACCGTGGTCTAGGAGACAAGAATCGTTCCTCACAGCAATTAGGGAGCAAGAGAGGGATGTGCATATGTAAAAAGGAGGTCTTATGTTAGGAGAGGAAGGGAAAGAGGAAAAAGCTGAAGTCAGCAAGAGCAATAAATCCTCAAATGCTGAGCAGTTTCTTCCAGTTCAGTCCGGCTCTGTGGAGCTCATCTTTAACCCGGAGACGGGACTCTGTTTAGTAGCTTTAGCCGTGGGGAGGCGAGTCCAGTCCAGTGATCAAGCCCCCCCGGACCGTTCAGTTTGCCCAGACGGTGCTTCCAAGTCCAGCTCAGCTGGCCTGCTAGAGGACGCTTCCCAGCAGCGCCACGGTCGGTTACCGGAGCTTGACCTCCAACCAGATACACACTTTCACAGTGGGGAGAGAAATCGATAGATCAACCGGCACGAACCGGTGACGCAATTGAGATGAATGATCAGCGAGCTAATTCTTATTCCTCTCTATACGGGGCAGTGATAAGTGAGAAGTTAAATGGATAGCGAGGAGGAATGAGAGCACTGAGTGGAGCGGAATGGTGGAAATGACATTTTGAATTTGCTTTAAACAAGGTGAGAGGATATACAAAGTATAAATCACTCAAAGAGCACACACCTCCACCAGGACCACACAATCTTTGGAATATGTTGTATATAACGGAAGATATTCAGCATTTACGTGGCTTTAGACTACAGACCTTTCTCCGTGTACATCAAATAGGCCGCATCTACAACTAATTGGAAAGGGTAAAGCATATAAAAGTCATTCAATTGTATTCTAAATTTGGTCGAGATTAATTGAAATTTGAGTAACACAAGCTGTACTTATAAGCAGCAGGACCTTTAGCTAAATGCTCATTTCCGCGTCCCTCTGGCAGGTATAACGTTTAAAGTGTCCGCCCTCTATGTTTAGTTTCTTCGCATATTCATTATTTTTGACATTTAAGTCACAACGGCCAAACATTCGACAACACAGGCTTTTGATAAATCTGCACGAAATCACCAAAAGCCATAACAGACGATCACGACCGAAGGCATAACCTTGCTTGTCAAGATAGAAATCAGCATGCACAAAGAAATGTTTTAAGATACGTTTTAAACCAAACAATGTGTTGGCAAACGGAACATTCGTCCTAAAGAGTGCGCGTCTTGTTTCACTTACCGTCTCGTTGCCAAACAAGATGTCGACGTAAGGCATGACCTCCATCAGGGGCTCTTTGAAGAACTGGCTGATGAAAGGTGCTGAGAGGTTCATGCAGAATATTTTGTTGTTATCTGAAGCGTGCTTCGCCACTTTCATGATGGACTCCGGGGAGACGGTGAGGAAAAATCCCTGAAAATAAGAAGAATAGTTACTTGCAGCTGTTCGACTGACCTCAACTGGATCAGATGAATTCATGTGTAAGGTGACATTGCACAGGCAGTGTTATATGTGTAAAGTAGGTCTGTCAATAGATTTTAAAACTAACTGACTATTATTAACTAATTAATCGCACATTTTGAAAGTAATTAATTTCGATTAATGGCGCTTAATTAATGTTGTTTTAAATGAATGTTTGTTTTCTTCTAAAGACTAAATCTTAAAAGTATTGAATAATCACTTTAGAAAGCGAATATTTTAGACACTGTTAATGTTATTTTAAACACAAAACTCTACACATTTCAAGATGATTGAAGGGAGAATTCCACCGGGTGGAACATGTTGAACTAGCGACTCTTCCTGCTGTCCTCGTGCACTTTGCTCTCAACTCTCCATAATTTAACGGCTGTGTTTGAAGTGCCAAAAATCTCCCCACATTTAGCCAGAACATTTTCAAACCGTGCCTTTTACGGACACAGTGGTGGTCCCCTGCAGAACGCGTGTGCCACGCAGGGTAATGTTAGATGTTGCGTTGAAAGAGGCCTAGCAGCTAGCTTAGCCTAGCAGTGAGCTTAGCATAGCAGTGTTTTAACTGGTCCGTTTGCCACTCAACCCACTTCTGTTTGACACGTGGAGTAATTCCTCTGCACAGTTCTCCGCTGTATGTCGCGTCTCTGTTTTACTTCCAGAAGATCTTTCCATCTTCATGTAACTGACTGCAGCTGGCGGCTGCTTCGATTTACGATTTACTTCCGGGAGTAAACAAACTTACGTTAATCAACTTACTTTTTTGAATTAATCTCGTCCACGTTAATCACATAGATTAATGCGTTTATGTTGACAGCCCTACTGTAAAGACAGACGGAATGGTGCCAGAATGGACTGAAGTAAATACTTTAAATGGCTAATTTGCGGGTTTAAAAGGTTTGAAGTCCTTCTTGGGGTGACAAGGCTGTAGGTGTTGTGGAAATAACACAGGAGTTGACTGAGAAGGAGAAGGGGAGTAAAGAAAACGGTGGTGGTGCTCAAACATTCATCTGAATGATTTCTCAGAGCGTACACAGGACACAAGGACAAAGAAGAGGAAAAAGGGCAAGAAAAAAAAAAAATCCACCCAGGACAAAGCCTGTGGCCGGGCTCCAAGGCTCATACTGGAGGAAGCAACGTGCACGTATCCGATGATAGGAGCGAACAAAAGTCTCGTCTGGACTCTCCTTACTTGGAAACAAGAGAGGCAGGTCCACTCATTGTGTGAATGAATACAAATCAGGTAAGAAAACACCTTTGTGTTTCAGGTGGAAACCTGAAGCGAGACTCTCCCGCGAGCCACACAAAAACACTCCTCCTTTGATACTGATCTTCTTAACCTTGTTTTTCAGCAACAAGCTTCCCTGTAAAACCACGGTATCACAAGGGGGGGTAGAGAGGAGAGGAAGGTCTCACCACCTTGATACATTTAATCTGGCCCGAAAAGCTTCCATTAAAGGCTACGGCGCAGTTCTCATTAAAGCACAATGACATTTTCGGCGGCGGAGGAGCGACCTCCATGAAAAACGGGAAAGGGCATAATACCGATGAATAGAGGGCGACTGTGTGGTCAATCAAGTGAACAAGGGATTACAATAAGCAGGTGAGTTCTTTATTACGCATTCGTGAGGTCATTCTCCCTCTCTTCGAAGACACATTGTGTTTTTTTTTTTTTCCTCCCTCAAAAACGTCTTTAAGGCCAGCGTGCAGTTGCTGTGTCACGGCCCCGTCCGTTAAAAAAAAAAGGGTTTCCAATGGATCTGGGAGCACAAAGGGAACGCACTCAGGCCTAATGGCCCATCACTGACCCTGACATTTTTCTTTTGTGCCGCGCCAACGTGTCAGAGGAAGGAGAGATTGTTTTCTGACACAAATGATCTTTTTTTTTTTTTTTTTTTCGGTAGTTGAAAATAAACTGTCATGGTTACCGTAATGTTAACACTGATCAAAGGCCGGCGGCTCGATCAAATATCCTGAGGGTTGGTGAACTTTAAAAGCCGCGCCACAGCTTCTCTAATCACATACCGGCTCTGTGTAATTTACTTCTGGTCTCGCTGCCACTGCCAGTGCCATCACATTAAATAGCTCACCGCGGTAATACATCTGCTGCTTACTGAACAAATTATATCCGTGTAGCTCCCCAAAAACAGTCTCCTGCACTCGATTCTTATTTGAGCCCTATACTCCATTTAAATGCTAAAATAAAGCAAGAGACACAAGCAAGGAGCATTAAATCGCAAACTAATCTTAAAAGTTCAATAAATATATGATTTTTATTGTCGGTCCAGTTAGACAATGACAGCATAAACAGTCTCACACGTTACGTATGAGGAGTTTGAGTGTCAAATAGGGCTGATGCAGGTTTCACTGATGTTATATTTAGAGTGTACTGTGTACATCTATGATGTAAGGCCGTCCTCTGACACAAACCACTGTGGGACACCCTGACATGTGGCCGACAAACATCTAATTAGTCATCTTAAGTCCATATCTATCAGTACACATACCTTCATACCTTCTGTCAATAATCAGTTTTGATGCAAACATTTAGAGCAAATTTAAATCGTGCAAGAATCGTGTTCATTAAAAATCACACATGCCAATTTTTTTTCCACCAGTGTCCAACTGTTGCGGCTCCAGTGGCTTGTGGGAGAAGGAAAAAAAAAAAAGCCTCAGTTCCAGTTTCCAAATCCCAGTTCCCATCGGTGGTCTCTGACGAGTACGAAACAGGAGAACTTAAGTCTTTAGTACTGCGGTGCAGATCCTGTATCCAGAACGCCAGCTCCAGTTCCCCAGGTGTCAAAGAGCGCTGTGAAGTTGGGGCGACTATCACATTTCCGGGTCAAGATGATCAAAGCGCTGGCTAAACTCCGTACAATTCCCACCAAGACAGATCAATTCAATGAAGAATTGAGAAATGCACTTTTCCTTACAGACAATAATGCGGGCCGATGTTTGACCCACGTCAAGTGGTAATTTGAGGGAAGAGTTGGAAAGGCAGCGTATTCATTTTCAATGTTTACCCTAAAAAAGAAAGAGGAGGAATTACATCCACTTTGCTCACACAAAGAAATGTCTACATGCCACTCCGGGATGAAACTAGAGGTAATCTGACCATAGACGTCCTAACTACACCTGAGCGGCGCTCTCCCCTGCATTGTATCCGTGTTTTTCCCCGGGGCTGCTCACATCTGAAAAGCCGGGTGTGATGGATGGCACGGTGTCACCGGGCTGAAAATACATCTGAAGGTTAAAAATGATCTATTTTGGGAAGGGCATTTTCATTTGCACCGGCAGCAGAGGTGGTCATGGGAAAGGAAAGGCTTTCTTTTATTTAATTTCCTTCTTCTCGGGTCTATTTTAATTCTGCAGAGATAAGAGGGAGTGTTCCAGGTACTGTGTCATGAAGGTTTTGTCTAACACCTCCCATTACTCAGGAATGATGGAAGGAATTTAAACACCATTGCCACTTGAGGGAAAAGAGTGATTATGGCAGCTGCGCTCGCACAAAATGTCATTAAACCCTGGATCTTAGGAAAGTGTATTCAGTGTGTTCAAGTTTTGTGCGTCTGGCCCTGTACGGCTGTTAGCGTGGACAAGGCAAAGTCCCAACCCGTGGCGTCCCTCCAAGTCCTCCTTGGGTAAACACTGTGAGCTCCGTCAGCACCGTTGTTTGTTGGATGCTCCGAATTCCTATTGAGCACATTTAAAGCTGTTCTTATTAATGTGTGTTTAATATAATGGAAATGGCCCCTAACGTCGAATGGAATCACTCACATAGCGATGAAGTATCACTTCACTATTCAGTATCCCGCAGCTCTATAGCTTTTTAAGTCTTTCGGCGCAATTTTTTTTTTTTTGCCAAAAACTGTTTTAGTTAGGTCTCTCATTAGGTTTATTTTAAGTTTTTAGTAAACTCTGATAATCACACTGTGCACTACCGGCTTTTTTACCAAACAGGAGGCAGAAAAAAAAAGAGTTAATGACTAACTGGTGGAAATAGCATTTAGTAACAAAAAAGCCGGATATTTCCCTCAGGACTTGATCAGTATTTGAGGCGATCAAACAAAGACTGGGAAAGGAAAGAGAAAGAAAGGGAAAGTGAGTATTCCACCAAAAAAGCAATTTCAGAGAGCAGCAGACAGAAGTCTCAACAATATTTGATTGAAGTCTGTATCCAGGATGTCAAACTGATTCAGCTTTTAAAAAAATAAATAAGATAGAAGATAAAGCCTTTGGATCACAGCGCAGCGGTGAGCGACCACATCGCCTGACAATCGAGATGGAAGACAAGGATATTAACAACACTGATATCGTTAGCTTAACATTTTCTTATGAATAGAATTGCAATTTCCAGGACAGACGAGTTAAGTAGCGCTTGTAGACAGCAACAAAGTAGAGAAAAGGAAATGCAGGCGCTCGTTCTGGTGATAAATTCCTCGTTGTCAGGAAAGCGCCTGAGAGCGAACCGGCAGGGTTTCAAAGCTCTTCAAGAATCCTCCCAGGCCACGCTATCCCTGTCATTACCATAGCTCGCCCCCCCATCATGCTCTCTAGTGCACAGGGTTCATTACACAGAATTAGATGTCCCACAGATCAGAGCGCACACAGGGGTCACACACTGCTCTCCTCCCCGGTTATCTCCGTAAAGCACCATTGCAAGGTGGATCGATAGCCGGGGTTTGGAGCTTCATTAGCTCAGTGTGACTCCATCTCCATCGAGACACTTCTGGCACGCTACGGCAGAGTTGCAAGATATATTTTACTCTGCGATCCTGAAGGTCCTGCTGTTTTACACACACAAACACACACACACACACACAAGACCTTTGCACGTGACTGGGGTGGAATCTGTGTCAGCCTCTGGCTCGATAAACAGGAGAAAGAAAGAGGCCAAACAAACAGAGGTAAGTGATAAATTGTGTCACAAAGTGCCTTGAGTGTGG